GTTGTTTCCATATATTTTTATTAATTTATTTTAATTTATTATAATAGAATGACATTATAATATCCATTGAAGGGCTCAATGAGCCGATGCAACCGGACCCCAAGAAATTGTGGATAGATTTTAAACAAGAGTTTCTTCAGAACTCGTTTAAAATTATTAAAAGAGATGTCCAAAGGAATCACACTAGTGATACCCAAATATTAAGAAGTGCCATTAGCACCAATGAGAAAAAAAAGAAAAGCAGAAACGTAAAAAAAATAGAGAACAACAAAGAATGACAGCAGTAAGAATTTTTTGTTTTCATTATATTAATGTACTAACTATATCACTATTTGTAAAATTTTAAATATATTTTCAGAAAATCAATCAGAGAAAAAAGGGGTTCGCCCACCTTCACTAAAGTAAAAGCAAACAATTAAAAAACCTCCACCTACATGATATTTCAGAGCGTCAAGCTCTGAACAACATAAAAAAAATTGTGGTCAAAAGTGGATACCACAGTGATGAGATATCGAAAACAGATGATGAACTTGCCGATAATGAAAGAAGAAAAAAGATTCAATATTCTCTTGATGATGACCGCAATAATCATGTGGTAAAGGTTATAAAAAAAGATAGCAGTCGAAAAAAGTAATTGTTACAATAGATAATTTATATTTATATTGATACTAGTATTAATATGCTTAATATACTTTTTAGTTAAAGCAAATTTTGTTGCTATGTGAAGATACTTCGCTAGCACAAAATTATAATAAGCCAAAATAGAATCACTGGGAAACTGATATCGATGATAACTCAACACTACTAGCTGGGGCTCCTAGCTGGTATATTTCACAGAACTATGTTCCTGCTGTTTCACTTGGTCCCATTATAAATTCTCCTGGTGCTGGTGATGATTCTGATAATTATTTAGAGTCTGGTGCTGTTGCCTCTGATACACATTTTGTATCTGGTTCTGCCTGTCTGGTTCTGCTCTGCCTAGTTCTTGCCTCCTTTAAGTGTTAGCTCTGTTCTTTGATGCTGCTTTACAACTTTAATCTTTTTCTTATAAGATACGACTACGACGATTGTGCGCGGGGAAGGGGTGTATAATAAATAGTAAACTGGTATCTATCTAACAATAATATTTTGCTTTTATCTAATAATTGCAGTCTAGTATCTTCGTCTAATAATTGTGGTTTTGTGTTTTCGCCCAATAACTGTGATCTGGTGTCTTCACTTAATAACTGTAATCCGGTATCTTCGACAAATAACTATAGTTTTGTGTCTTTGTCCTGAAACCCAGTGTCTTTACATGGTAATAATGGCAGTTATACTGTGCTTTCTTCCAATAACTATAATAATTATTCATGTCGATGCATATGAAAAAAAAAAAAAATAGTGGGTGCATACAAAAAAAAAAAAAAAAAAGGATTCATTGTGGATGCATATAAAAAGAAAAAAAATAGAAGCTTATCTCACAGACATAGTATTAAAGTGACAACTATAACAATTGTGCACGGAGAAAGGGCACATAATAAATAGTGAACAGGTATCATCATCTAACAATAATATTTTTCTTTTGTCTAATAAATGTGGTCTATATCTTTGCCCAATAATTATGGCTTTGTGTCTTCGCTCAATAACTATGATCTGGTGTCTTTGTTTAATAACTATAGTTTTGTGACTTTGCTCAATAACTGCCTTCGCCTAATAACTATAGTTTTGTATCTTTACCCAATAACTATGATCTGGTTTCTTTGCCCAATAAATATGGTCTAGTGCCTTTACCCAATAACTGTGGTTTGGTGTCTTCACTCTGAAACCCAGTGTCTTTACATAGTAATAATGGCAGTTATACTGTGTTTTCTTCTAATAACCACAGGTTCAATAAATACATAAAGGATACATATCGGGATCCCTTTATTATTCTGATATCTATCTTTTTTTATCCACTTTTAACCTGATTTGCTACAGTTATTTGGCGAATCTATGGTAATATAAAGGATAAATACTGGTACAACATAAAAGAAAAATATAAGATGAATAAAAAATATCTATTAATATCCTGATATCGATCTTTTATATAATAATTATATATCTGTTTTGCTGCATATACTGGAAATATAAAAGATAAATATTGGTATATTTAAAATAAATATCAGCTAAATAAAGAGTACCTTTTTTATGTCCTGATATCTATCCTTTATATGTCTACTTTTAACCTGGTTTGCTACAGTTATTTGCGAATCTATGGTAACATAAAGGATGAATACCAGTACAATATAAAAGGTAAATACAAGATAAATAAAGAGTATTTATTAATATCCTGATATCAACTCTTTGTATAATGATTATATATCTAGTTGCTACACATGTTTGACAGATCTATAGAAGCATAAAAGATGAATATTGGGAGAATGGAAAATGAATATTAGCTAAATGATAGGTATTCTTTTTATGTCCCGATATCTATCCTTTATGTATCTACTTTTAATCTGGTTTGCTACAGTTATTTGGCAAATCTATAGTAATATAAGTACTTGTTATTAGTCATGTTGTTGATGATAACTGATTATTCACTAGGACATTGTGCTTATGATGTAACCGAAGGGCACGTCATAACGCGGTGTCTGCTGTGAAGAAATCAGCGATTATCATTAATAACATGACCCAATAACTACATTATTGTGCATTTCTGATATAAGCACCTAGTCATTTTCTGCATCTTATTGGGTCATTTCTAAACGTGATGCACAAATTTTGTTTACCTCTGATAGGAGGTGAACAAAGTTTGTGTATTATGTATTAGGATTGACCCAATAACATGCATGAAAATAGCTAGGTACTCACATAAGAAGTGTACAATAAAGCATGAATACTAGTACAACATAAAAAGTAAATACAAGATAAATAAAGGGTATCTATTAATATCTCGATATCAATCCTTTGTATGGTGATTATATATCTAGTTGCTACATGTGTTTG